GACCCAGTATGTCATCTATTCTGGAGAAAGTTCTGTGTGCACTCAAGAAGAGTGAGTATTCTCTTGTTTTAGGACAGAATGTTTCGTCTATATTGATCAAGTCCATCTGGTCCAATGTGTCATTCAAAGGTCTTGTTTCTCTTTTGATCTTCTGTTTAGATGATCTATTGCTGTGAGTGGACTGTTGAAGTCTATTATTAATGTATTATTATCAATATGATTCTTTATTTTAGGTATTAGTCAGTTTATGCAGTTGGTTACTCCTGTGTTAGGAGAGTAGATTTTTACAATTCTTAAGATTTTCTTTTTGAATAGACCCTTTAAACATGATATAGTGTCCCTCTGCATATCTTACTACCATCTTGGTTTAAAATCTAATTTGTCTGATATGAGTCACTCCCCCAGCTTTCTTTTTAGGTCTGGTGGCATGATAAATGATTCTCCATCCCTTCACTTTCAATTTGGGGATCTCTTTAGGTACAAAATGAGTCTCTTATAGACAGCATATGGATGGGTCTTGTCTTTTTATCCAATCTGAAACCCTGTGTCTCTTGATGGGAGCATTCAGTCCATTCATAATAACCACTGAAAGATATTAATTTAGTGCCATCATATTGCCTGTAGCATCCCTGTTTCTATAGATTGTCTCTTTTAATTTCTGCTCTATATTACTTTTGCAGTATTTCTTGTTTTATAGAATCTTGCAGGGGGGCTTGATGGTCACATACTCTTTCAGTTTCTGCTGGTCCTGGAGGCTTTTTTCCCTTCCATTCTGAATTACAGCCTTGCTGGATAAAGTATTCTTGGCTGCATATTCTTCCCATTTAGTACCCTGACAATGTCTTGCCAGGCTGTACTGCCTTGTCAGGTCTTTGTGGATAGGTCTGATGTTATTCTGATTTTCCTTCTTCTGGATGGAAGAAATCTTTCCCCTTAAATGTCTCAGGATAACTTCCTTGGCTCTAAGATTTGCAAGTTTTACTATTATATGCTGGGGTATTGATCTTTGTAGGGGAGAAGCCTCTCTGCCTCTTGGCCACAACAGCTTGTTTCCTTACTCAGATTAGGGACATTCTCAGCTATGATTTGCTCAACTAACCTTTCAGTCCTCTCTCTCTCTACATCTTCTCAGGGATGCCAATAATTCTGACATTGGAACATTTCATGGTGCCATTGATTTCTCTAAGTCTGTTCTCATGGGCTTCTAGCTGCTATCTCTATCTTCCTCAGCTTGTTCATTTTCTATCAGCTCATCTTCTAGATCACTAATTCATTCTTCTGCCTCATTTAACCTGGCTGTCAGAATATCCAGTTTTGACTGGATTTTTTTTTTAAGTTTTTGCCTGATTTTTTTTTTGTTTTTTTTTTTAATTTTTTTTTAAGTTTTTAAGTTTTTTTTTTTAAACTTTTAAAGTTTTGCCTGATTAGATCTCACTTCTGCCCTTAGAGATTCTATATTGTCACTATGGCTCTTTTCAATCCTAGCTATTGACTTTATGATTGCTATCCTGAAGTCTATCTCTGACATCTTGCTTATAGCCACTTAGATCTTGTTTAGATCTGTAAGAGAGGACATTGTCTCTGGTTCTTTTGTTTGTTGAAAGTTCTTCCTCCTAGTCATTCTACTGAAGGACAGCTGAGCAAATGAACAGAATCCAAAATATCAACCAAGACTCAAGCTATATGCACCTTAGAAAAAAACTGAAGTGGCTGAAGACTACCACCGATATGCCATTAAAGCCAAGATGATCCAAAACAATAAAAAAAGAGGAAAAGGAAGAAAAAGAGAAAAGGAAAAAACAGGGTGGGAGTGCAGAGAGAGATTATAATCTCTTGAATGGACACAGTACAGTGATCTGCCTATTTCTGCTTGATTTTGGTCTCTGTGTTAGAAGACACTATATCCCAAAATTGCAAAGAAGTCAGAACATACATATATCATTGTAAAATTGGACAGAGTGAAAAGCGGCTAATATGGAGCATAAATCTCTAAAACATATATGTGATTAAAAAAAAAGAATAAGAACAGAAACTAAAAAATCTAAAATTTTAGCTTGAAGTGTAAGGGAGTCATGAGGGAACACATGGAGCTCTCTGGCACTGAAGTTTTACAGTCCTGTAGGAAATAAGCTTATCATTCACCCATTCTTCCAGTCTCTCTTTTGGGGGAAGGGCCTTCTGCTTGGCTTCTCAGTTGTCTTTGCCTAGATGAAGTTGCCCCCACTGTTCTTGTCAGGGGAATGGGCTTTATGTGAGCTGGTCTGCTGTGTGACTTTTGCTCCCTGGCATCTTTCTGCTTCTCTCTAGAGGGTCAAAGCAAATATGGCTATGTGGGAATCACCACCCCAGAACTGCAAGGTTGTGGTCCACCCTCCTCAACAAATCCTCTGTCAATCCATCTCCACCTCTGTGGATAGCAAACTCCACCAACTCAGCATCTTCTGGGGGAGGGGCCTGTTGCTTTGATTCTCAAATGTCTTTGCCCCAGGCAGCATGGCTCTGTCTTTGCCAGGGGACAGGCTAAGTAATCTGCTCTGGTTTGTTCTCTGTAGTTCTCATTCCCTGAAGGCTTTTTCCTCACAGTTTTAGAGAATGAGAAAGAAAATGGCTGCCTCCCAATCTCTCACCCCAGAGAAGCCCAGAGCTTGGGGTCCCACTCCTCAGTAAGCCGTGAGAAAAGCAGTCAGTCACTCCTGTCTCCCTGGTCTCTGTCTGCACTCTGTATTCCCCTGGCCTGCAAATGAGCATTTCTATCTCAGGCACACAGCCCTGTTTAAAGTCTCCAAACCCAGCAGGCTCCTGCAGCACTCTCCCCTGCCACTCCTTTTGTGGGAGTAAAGAGGGGTTCTCCCCTGTCCTGCCATTTATGGGACCCTAGTCAAGCAGCAGTGGCCCAGCTGTGCTGGAAATCACAGTTTATGGCAACCGCAAGCTGACAGCCCATTCCTCAGCTCACACTAGGCTTCCCTGACCCAATATGTGGGCACTCTGCTACACGCAGGCAGCCCCCGTCTTCCAGTGACCCTGAGGATCCTGAGACCTCACTGTCCCTGCATTGGTTCCACCTCCCACTTAGTCAGCTGAGCAACATTCCTCACCAGAGCAGACTCCTATAAGTTGCAGTTTTGTGCCTTGCTGCTCTGTCACTTGGCTGACGGAGGCTCCTTCCCTCTGCCCTGTGGTCTATCTTCCCATACATCATCTCAGATTCATTGCTCCACACCTCCTACCTTGCAAAAAATGGTCACTTTTCTGTTCATAGAGTTGCTGCTATCCTTTCCTTCAATTTCTGGGTGAGTTCACAGGTGTTCTGAATGGTTTGATAGCTATCTAGCTAAATTCCTGGGACCAGATGAAATTAAGGTCTCCTACTCCTCTGCCATTTTGGACCTCCTCCTTCCTCTTTTATTTTTGTTTTTTTTGTTTTGTTTTGTTTTACCCAGCCCATGACGCTACACCATTTATGCAACTGGCTTTCTCTCCTTCTCTTACTGTCTTCCTCTTAACCTTCTCAACAATGTAGGGTCATATCATGCTCTGATATTCTACATATTTTCTTGCTGCATGTTGTAACTCCACACATTAGTCATCGAGAAAAATCAAGACAAGTCATTATCTTTTTTGAGGAAACTGAGTCACATGAAAGTGGACTAATTCAGAATCAGAACTATACCTTCAGTCTTCTGACATCTAGCCTCTCAAGATGTGAGTCATTAGACCTATGTGACACCACCTCCCAAACCAAGTAATGACAGGCTCAATTTTAATCCTAAGAAGTGATAACCTAATGTTTTTATTTCTTAATTCCAAATGAGGGTCTAATAAAGATCTGTTACCTTAAACCACCAACCAACTATATACACACAAACACATACATACACATTTATGAGGATGAAAAGATCTTAATTATTCACTGTATGAGGGAGAAGTATATCAGAAATGATGAGAGGATTTCTTTGTTTAAAAAATTATAACACAGGGGTGCCTGGTTGGCATGGTTGGTCAGTGTTGATTCTTGGTTTCAGCTTGGGTTGTGATCTGAGGGTGGTCGGATCAAACACATTAGGCTCTAACTCCGCTCAGTGTGTGCTTTGGATTCTCCCTCCCTCTCCTTGTTCCTCCTGCTTGTGCTCCCTCTCTCACTTTCTATCTATCTAAAATAAATAAATCTTTAAAAAATTATACACACAAAAGGGCAATCAAAACTTTTGTTCTGCTGTAAGCTTTAGTTAAGCAAATACTGTGTAATAAGATGAAAAGATTTTGTATATGCAGTTTTAGACCAATGGTTTCCATTCAATGGGACATGCCCTTAGGGACAGTTATTGCAACAAAATCATAAATCCAATAGCCTATCAGCATTATTTAGTGAGCACGACAATGTCTATGTGTAGTATTTCCCATATATGCACAAGATATTTTTGTGTATATATGGTATGCTACATAATTTAAGCACATAATAATTTATGTTTTTAAGATTTTATTTATTTGAGAGAGAGTGCATGAGCAGATGGAGGAGCACAGAGAGAGTGAGAAGCAGACTCTCCACTGAACAAGGAGCCTAAGACAGTACTCATTTCCAGGATCTTGGGAGCATGACCTGAGCTGAAGGCAGATGCTAACAGAGCCAGCCACCCAAGTGCCCTAACACAATAATTTTAAGAACACTGCTGAATTAGTAATTAATTTGGTAGTTCTCACCTGGGGTCAACCATGTGTCAGAGAAGACATCTGTCATCTCAAAGGACTTTTGACTGCAAAAGTTAGGGAGAAGGAGAGTAATATCTCCATTTAGCACAAGGATAGCAGGGATGCTGCTAAAAATGCGGATATAAAAATAGCCTGCACAACTAAGAATGATCTGGTCCCAAATTTCAGCAGTGTTGCTCCTGAAAAAAATAGCTGTACTAAATTATGATTTATAACTATTAATCATCAACAGCTTCAAGTACAACTATCACATGGAAATCTGGGATTTTTTTTTCTCATTAAAAGCATACCTGCATGGAAAGGCAAGGTAACTACAACTGTACAAACTGAAGCAGCAAAACTTGAAAGGTCTGGTGTGGAAAAACACTGAAGTAAGAAAATAAAATCAAGAAGAAGAACCCTAAAGACTGAAAACGTTAATTTTATTTCTATCATAAGACGGGAAATAATCAAGATTAGAGCAGATCAAGGAGTAGAAACCAGAGATACAATAGAACGTATCAATGAAACTAGAAGCTGGTTTTTTCAAAGAATCAATAAGATTGATAAACCACTGGCCACACAAATCCAAAAGAAAAGAGAGAAAGCCCAAATTCATAAAATTATGAATGAAAAGGGAGGATCACAACTAACACCAAGGAAGTAGAAACAATCATCAGAAGTTATTATCAACAGTTATATGCCAATAAGCTAAGCAACCTAGATGAAATGGATGCATTCCTGGAAAACTATAAACTCCTAAAATTGAACCAGGAAGAAACTGACAACCTGAATAGACCAATATCTAGTAATGAGATTGAAGCAGTGATCAAAAACCTCCCAAAAAAACAAGAACCCAGGACCTGATGGATTCCCTGGGGAATTCTACTAAACTTTCAAAGAAGAAATAACACCTATTCTCCTGAAGTGGTTTCAAAAAATTGAAACAGAAGGAAAACTTCCAGACTCTTTCTATGAAGCCAGCATTACCCTGATCCCCAAACGAGGCAGAGACCCTACCAAAAAGGAGAATTTCAGACCAATACCACTGATTAATATGGATGGTAAGATTCTCAACAAGATCCTAGCAAAGTGGATTCAACAGCACACTAAAAAGATTATCCACCATGACCAGGTGGGATTTATTCCTGGGGTACAAGGATGGTTCAACATTCGCAAATCAATCAACGTGATAGAACAAATTAATATGAGAAGAGAGAAGAACCACATGGTCCTCTCAACGTGAGACAGGAATCCAGCAGAATCCTAGAGGAGAATATAGGCAGTAACCTCTTTGATATCAGCCACAGCAACTTCTTTCAAGATATCTCTCCAAAGGCAAAGGAAACAAAAGCGAAGATGAACTTTTAGGACTTCTCAAAATCAAAAGCTTCTGCACAGCAAAGGAACAGTCAACAAAACAAAGAGGCAACCCACGGAATAGCAGAAGATATTCGCAAATGACAGTATAGACAAAAGGTTGATATCCAGGCTCTATAAAGAACTTTTCAAACTCAACACACACAAAACAGATAATCATGTCAAAAAATGGGCAGAAGACATGAACAGACACTTCTCCAATGAAGACATACAAATGCCTATCAGACACATGAAGAAATGTTCATCATCACTAGCATCAGGGAGATTCAAATGAAAACCACGTTGAGATACCACCTTACACCACTTAGAATGGCCAAAACTAGCAAGACAGGAAACAACATGTGTTGGAGAGGATGTGGAGAAAGGGGAACCCTCTTACATGGTTGGTAGGAATGCAAGTTGGTGCAGCCACTTTGGAAAACAGTGTGGAGATGCCTCAAGAAATTAAAAATAGAGCTTCCCTATGACCCTGCCATTGCACTACTGGGGATTTACCCCAAAGATACAGATGTAGTGAAAAGAAGGGCCATCTGTACCCCAATGTTTATAGCAGCAATGGCCACGGTCGCCAAATTGTGGAAAGAACCGAGATGCCCTTCAACGGACGAATGGATCAGGAAGATATGGTCCATATACACTATGGGAGTATTATGCCTCCATCAGATAGGATGAATACCCAACTTCTGTATCAACATGGATGGGAATAGAAGAAATTATGCTCAGTGAAATAAGTTAAGCAGAGAGAGTCAATTATCATATGGTTTCACTTATATGTGGAGCATAACAAATAGCATGGAGGACAAGGGGAGTTAGAGACGAGAAGGCAGTTGAGGGAAATTGGAAGGGGAGGTGAACCATGAGAGACTATGGACTCTGAAAAACAACCTGAGGGTTTTGAAGGGGGAGGGAGTGGGAGGTTGGGGGAGCCAGGTGGTGGGTATTGGGGAGAGCACGTATTGCATGGAGCACTGGGTGTGGTGCATAAACAACGAATTCTGTTACACTGAAAAGAAATTAAAAAAAAAAAAAAAAAGAAAGAAAAAAAATGATACAGAAAATTTTAAAAACATCATTAATACCAGTGTGGACCCTGAGGCATGGAGAGTTTAAAGGACTGGCCCAAACCACACAGCCAGGAAGCTGCAGAACTGGACATGAACGAGATGCAGCTGCCTGTGAAAATCCTGCATAGATTCAGCTTCAGGATTGTTTCCTGGTTCTTATCTTTGCTCCCCAGTGGCTCTCATGATCTCAGGCACAAATGGCCAATGGGATACGAAGATAAAAGTGCTTTTAAAGAGAAAAAAGAGCAAAACTCTTGAAAGTTGACATTGGGGGGCGCCTGGGTGGCTCAGTGGGTTAAGCCACTGCCTTCGGCTCAGGTCATGATCTCGGGGTCCTGGGATCGAGCCCCGCATCGGGCTCTCTGCTCGGCGGGGAGCCTGCTTCCTCCTCTCTCTCTGCCTGCCTCTCTGCCTGCTTGTGATCTCTCTCTGTCAAATAAATAAATAAAATCTTTAAAAAAAAAAAAAAAAGAAAGTTGACATTGGGAGATAAAGCTAATAGAACTGGTATTATTTAGCCAGGTGAAGAGAAGGCTGAATTGCCATGTTGGTTTGTGAAGGATTGTGACACACTGGACTGTGGAGAGCTGGGATTTATCCCCTTCTCCACAAAGGACTCAGGACAGCAGTGGAAAGTTTCCTAGGAACATTAATTATAAAACAGTAGAGGATTGTTGGGTAAGGACATGAATCTACTCAGGAAATAATCTCACCCTCCACTATCCTTCTTCCCAACTGTGCTTATACACTATTCTTAATTCTCATAATTTTTGTAATAATTAAAGTATAGAGTGAAATGGGAAAAAAAAAAAAAAGAAATCAGTTGCATTTCCATACACCAACAACAAGACAGAAGAAAGAGAAATTAAGGAGTAGATCCCATTTACAATTGCACCCAAAACCGTAAGATACCTAGGAATAAATGTAACCGGAGAGGCAAAGAATGAATATTCAGAAAACTATAGAACACTCATGAAAGAAAGTGAGGAAAATTCAGAGAATGGAAAAACATCCCATGCTGAGGGATTGGAAGAACTAATATAGTTTATATGTCTATGCTACCTAGAGCAATCTACACATTCAATGCCATCACCATCAAAAGTATCTTCAACAATTTTCACAGAGCTGGCACCAGAAAAGACCCCAAATAGCCAAAGGAATGTCGAAAAAGAAAACCAAAGCTGGAAGCATCAAAATCACAGAATTCAAGCTGTCTGACAAAGCTGTGATCATCAAGACAGTATGGTATTGACACAAAGACATACACATTGAGCAATGGGATACAGAAAAAAAGAACGCAGAAATGGACCCTCAACTCTACGGTCAACCAATCTTCAACAAAGCAGAAGAGAATGTCCAATGGGAAAAAAGAGAGTCTCTGCAACAAATGGTGCTAGGAAAAATGAACAGCTACATGCGGAAGAATGAAACTAGACCATTGTCTTACAAAGATAACCCAAAATAGATGAAAGACCTAAATGTGAGACCGGAATCCACCAACATCATAGAGGAAAATACTGGCAGCACCTTCTTTGGCCTCAGCCTCAGTATCTTCTTGATAAAGAAGGCAAGAGAAACAAAAGCAAAAATGAACTATTGAGAGTTCATCAAGAAAAAGGTTTTTGTACAGGAAAAGAAACAGTCAACAAAATTAAAAGTCAGCCTTCAGAATGGGAGATGATATTCACAAATGACATAACAGATAAAGGGCTAGTATTTAAAGTCCATAAAGAACTTACCAAACTCAACACCCAAAAAACAAAAAATCTAGTCAAGAAATAGAAAACATGAAAGGAAAATTCTCTAGTGAAGAAAGACAAATAGCCCACAGACACATGAAAAAATGCTGAATATCACTTAGCAACAGGAAATCAAATCAAAATGACAGTGAGATCCCACTCACACCAACTGGAATGGCTAAAATGAACAAGACACGAAACAACAAATAATGGCAAGGATGTGGAGAAAGGGGAATCCTGTTACACTGTTGGTGGGAATGCAAGCTGATGCAGCCACTTTGGAAAACAGTGTGGAGGTTTCCAAAAAGTTAGAAATAGAGCCAACCTATGATGCAGCAATCGCACTACTGGGTAATAATACAAAGATACAAATGTAGTGATCCAAAGGGGCAAGTGCACCCCAATGTTTACAGCAGCAATGTCCCCAATAGCCAAACTATGGAAAGAACCTAGATGTCTAACAGAAGAATGGATAAGGAAGAATGATGTGCATACAGACACACACACACATACAATGGAATATTACTCAGTTATCAAAAAAAAATAAATGTTGCCATTTAGAAAAACATGGGTAGAACAAGAGGGTATTATCCTAAGTGAAATAAGTCAGTCAGTCAGAGAAAGACAAATACCATAGGATTCATTCATATGTGGAATTTAAGAAACAACACAGATGAAAAAATAAGATAAAAACAAAGACGGAGGCAAATCACAAAAGACTCTAACTGTAAGAAACAAACTGAGGGTTGCTAGAGGGGAGGCAGAATGGGTAACTGGGTGATGGGCATTAATGAGAGGTCATGATGGAAGGAGCACTAGATGTTATATACGAGTGATAAATCACTGAACTTTATCTCTGAAATTAATATTACACTACATGTTACCTAAACTGAATTTAAAAAAAGAAAAGAAATGAGCAGAAGACATGAAGAGACATTTTTCCATCTGGATGGAAAATTCCATCCGGATGGAAGACATTTTGGCCATCTGGATGGCCAAAAGACAGATGACGAGATGTTCAACATCATTTATCATCATGGAAATGCAAATCAAAACCACAATGAGATACCACATCACACTTGTCAGAATGGCTAAAATTAACAACACAGGAAACAAGTGTTGGTGAGTATACAGAAAAGGAAACCATCTTACAGCATTGGTGGGAATGCAAGCAGTTAGAGTGGCAAGCAGCCACTCTACAAAACAGAATGGAGGTGGCTCCAAATAGTTCTTAAAACAGAACTATCATACAATCCAGCAATTACACTTCTAGGTATTTAGTGAATGGAGAGAAAATACTGTTTCAAAGGGACACATGCACCCTGATGTTTATAGCAGGATTATGAATAATAGCCAAACTATGGAAAGAGTCCAAGTGCTCACCAATAGATGAATAAGATGTGATACTCTTGCCATCTGTAGTGCCATGAATGGAGAGAGTATTAGGCTGAGCAAAATACATCAGAGAAAGAGAAACATCATATGATTTCACTCATGTGGAATTTCAGAAATACAACACCAAAGCAAAGTTTAAAAAAAAAAAAGATTAAGGGAAATGAGAAACATCCTTCTTTCATTATGTATGTTTTTTTAACGTGTAACTTACGTTACATGTATAACATGTCCTGATAGTAACTTCTTCATGTACAACTGATCAGTGGCAGTCATTTTAGAGTTATAGCTAGACAAAAGTAAATTCAAAATGGATGAAAGACATCAATGTAAGACATTAAACTATCAAAATCCTTGAGGAGAACACAGGCAGTAATTTCTCGGACACTGGCTATTAAGAATATCTTTCTGGATATGCCTTGTAAATCAAGAGAAATAAAAGCAAGAACAAACTCCTAGGGCTACTTCTCTCCCTTGGCTCTCTGCAAAATGCCCCCTTGGGTACAGCCCCCTGATCCAACTGGTCCATCTCACACCACACCATCCCCACAGCCACTGTCACAGGGAGAGTCTGCAAGTAAGCCACGGAGTTCTGCTCTCACGTCCGTCTCCTCCACCCATCCACTCCCGTTTAGCGTGGGGGAGGCACACATGCCCTCCTTCCAGGGCCGTGCCTGGGGTGGGCAGCAGACCATCGGGGGGACCCAGAAGTCCCCTGAGCCTTTCCACTCACCTTCAGAGGTGGGGGCTGAAGTTTTTCGGGGCTGTAAGGGTCGGCCTGGCCAGCAAATGCATGTCCGTGGAGGGCGTCACCGCCCACGCAGCAGGGCTCCGGGTGCGGGGGGCTGGTCTGGGCACAGCTGTTGCAGCCGCTGTCCACCGAGTGGGCGTGCCAGCTCCTGCAGGCAGATGTTGCAGAAGCCCCCAGCGTGTGGGACAAGGTGGCCTTCTTCCCCTTCCTCTTTTCTTCCCCAACTTCCTCTGGCCGCCCCGCCCTCTGTCCTTTATCAGGAATTCTCCCATGAATTTTACTAGTGTGGGGTGAGTGGAACCAATGGTATTAGCTCTCCAGATTTCCTGTTTTTCATTTTGTGGATCTTTCACTTTCCTTCCCATCCCATACATAAAACATTCTGTGAAATCACCATTGAATTTGGTAAAAAAACAAAACAAAACAAAACAAACAAACAAACAACAAAAAAAAAACACCTCGCCAGAACGGACGTGTCACAAAAACAAAAGATACTGTTTCTTACAAAACTGGAAAAACAGCACATCACTGGACCAGGTGCCCTGCCACAGACGCACCCAGCAAGACCTATGCGCTGTCAGTGGTCGCACACAGGCACTCTTCCCATCAAGTCAAAGGGCCCGTTTTCTAGGGGACATGACATGCCGAGGCCTTTCAGTAAAAGGGCCTGTGTGTCTCTAGCACCCAAGGTCAGCACCCTGAGCCCTCCCCCCCTGCCTCCCCCCCCCCCGCCTGGCTTCCCACCAGCCATTGAATACCATACTCTAGCCCTCCACCATGCACTTTCCCTCCCTGCAGTAAATTCAGGCAAAGCCATTCAGAAGCAGCAGGAAGCTTTAGAAACAGGACACTCTTCGTGGAACATGTGGAAGTAGAGCAGTAGCAAGGTGCCTCCAGAAGGGATCAGACAGAAGTAAATGAAGAGTGCATGACTTTAGGTAATATGTCCAGAACAGGCCAATCCATGCAGATGAAAGGCAACGGGCAGTGGTCAGGGCCAGGGTAACGGCTATTATGAGGGTCAGGTTTCTTTCTGATGTGATGAAATTGCCCAAATTGAATTGTGCTGAAGGTGGTATAATTCTGTGAGTCTACCAAAGAGCACTGACCCTAACATAGGGAGATCAGACCTCCAAAAGTCATTTGAAAACAACTTAAAGGGACCTTTTATCAATCCTGGCAGAGCCAAATTGCTGGTAGTCACTACTACAATTCCAGAACCATTCCACAATAGGTGGAAAAGATGAAAAGTCTGCATGGGGAGCTAGGGAACAGAGATAAAGGCACTGCTTCCTCTGGAGCATCCAGACTTTTAGGTGGCACCAAGTGTGTACAGCACATTATACAGAGTTGCAGAAGAGAAAGCCACCTGTACCAAATTCCTCTGCCAGGGCATAGCTTCATAGCACTGGGCCCTGTGGGCCCCCAAAAGTATTCTTCATATTCCAGATGTGCAAAAGGGGTGTGTCTTGCCCTACCTCTTGGACATGGCCTCAGTCAGCTCCTCCTTCCGCCCCATCTCGAGGATCTCGTCCTCCGCGCACTCCAGCTTGACCCGCTCCTCCGCCAGCTCGCGCTCCACAGCCTGCAGCTGGGCTGTGGTTCTGGCCAGCAGTGCTGTCACGGCGTCCTGCAGGGGGTGGGAGCAGTGCAGTACAAGGTCAGGCCTGCGCCCTGGCTGGCTGCCCTCCTCGACTCTCCAGGAACAAGGAGCTCCAGCTGCGCCAGCGGGATAGGCCCGGGCCACCTCGTGGAGCTCTGAGGGCTCAAGTTTTTAAACCACCAACGCATCACCCCCCATCACTAGCTCGTCTACATTAAAGCCATGGTCATGAATGGCCACACACACCAAAACCTCCCATTCCCGTGCCTTCCCTTGAACCTGCCTCTTGGGCACGGCGGTGCTCCGATGCTAAGCGCGCAGAGACTCTCGTGAGAGACGAAGCCCCTGGGACAGTGGGTGCCCGCAGCGCGAGAGGTGGGCACACGTACCATCTTCCCAATGGCGGTGGCTTGTGCCAGGTCCCCAGCAGCACCCCCCTGCTGCTCGCTCTCCCTCGCCCCGGGCGGCCCGCAGCTGCTGAACACCTGCACCGCGTACCAGCGCAGCTGCATTTCGCTGGACCCCTCGTAGTCGGCCAGGTTGATCTGAGCAATGCCCTGCACGGGTGTTTAAAAAAAGAAAAGCAGAACTCATAGTAAATTCTCATAGTAAAATTTGATCTGTAGTTTATCTGAAATTCAAATTTAACTGCTAATCCTAAATTTGCCAAATCTGCCAACCCTAATCAGTTTTCTCAACTGAAAATGGGAATAAATATAGAAGTTTTACAAGTATTAGATGATATAATATTTATATTTATATTATTTAAAGTACAATGCGCTTGGCAAGATAAATATTTCTATCATCCACTTCTGTTATTTCACCTACAAAGATCACTTAATGTTATGACGATTTCTGAGCAACACACCACAGTAAAAAAGAAGGAGGGGAGAAAGGGAAAGAAATGAAGGGTCAGAGATAGAGAAAAAAGATAGAGACAGGTACAAAGACAAGGAGTACAGACAAAAGAGAAAAAAAGAAAGGAAGGAAGGAAGGAAGGAAGGAAGGAAGGAAGGAAGGAAGGAAGGAAGGAAGGAGGGAGGCAAAAGATTAGTGTGAAAAGAAAAAATAAATGACAATAAAGGGCAGAAAGACTAGAAGAGAGGGGGTGGGACACAGATTAAGACAGATTGAACAGAAAGAAAGGAAGGAGAGAGCAGTAAAGATCAGAAAATGATGGGAGCATGGGGAATAGGGAAGGACATACCAGCAGTTCCTCCTGCAGCTGCTGAGTCAGCACACACACGTACAGCTGCAGTGACTTCAACGTCAACATGCTTGAATGCACAGGGATTCTGAAAATTTCATTAAATACCAGGGGGGCCTGGAATTCCAGAGCCTTAGAGCAGTAGGTGCTCGGGGCGCCAGAGTCGACCGGCGGCACATAGACCCGGATGTGTCTGGAGCCAGAGAGAGGGAAGAAAAAACAGAGACGTGACACTCCCTGACACGTCTGTGCGACACAATGCACACACTTCATGTATGTGGATACGCACTCCCCTGCTCGGATGCCCAAGGGCAGAATTTTAAAGTCTTTTGGAAAAGGTCCTCTTCTCAACTAAGAGTAAGCCCAGGAACTGACGTGCCCCCTGCGACCAGGGGAGAAACACTCATGAAGAGAAAGGCTCCCAAGTCAGGAGCTAGGACTTTGGAAGGAGTCGGACACAGGTCCTGCTTTCGCCGGCTTTGCGGGAAGCCGCCTGCGCTGCTCTCTCCACGGCCTCCCGGCTCCCTCTTCAAGCTCCGCGTGCCTGGCCTCCAACACCGCTCATACCAACCTGGGCTTTCTGCTCTGTCCACCTCCAGCACGGAACAAACGAGAAGTGCAAACACCAGCTGCAAAGTACACCATGAGGGTGGGCAAAATCACAGTGTGAGCCCGCGGCCACTGACAACTGCTTTGAAGACAAGCTTTAAAAACTCCTGGAAAGGCTTGCACCCTTGGGCTCAAGAAAACCATGAGCGGTGCGCTCTGTGGCCAGGTGAGGGGCCCCAGTGCACAGTCATTCCGGGCCACAGGGCTCCCAGAGGTCACATCTTCCAATGGCAACAACACATATTTCCTTCTTCACTCAGAGAAGAGCCCCAGGACGTGGCCAGAAGCCTTTTCATTCACTTTGCAGCATCACAGACCTGAGTGTTAACACATGACCCAGCCCAAGGGCAGGATGGACATTTTAAACCAAAATGCTGCTACTTAGCATCACTGTAGCACATTACCAGTCTGGCTCCATGAACTTCATCTGCATCAAATAAGAACTACTCTTTTTAAAACTTATAACCCTTTCTATTTCAGACATTGTGTGGTATCTTATTAGGAATAAACTTTGAAATTCAGGTTCCAAATGGTCTTTTCCCTCCCCAAACTGCTGAGGAGAACAAGTGAGTGAGCAAGACTGTGTGAAGACTGCCCAGGAGCTGCCATCCATGGTTGGAGCTATTCACCAGGTCCCCAAACCAAAATACTGCCAACAAGCCATCTTACATTTTGCAATCTTTCTTCATGACCAGTTTAGCAAAATTCTTTAGTTGGAACAAGTTCACAAGAAGACATCCGCTGGCACTGTCGAGCCTAGGAAATGAAACAGAACCTCATAGGCTGCACATTCCCCATAGTGGAAACCTCCTGGTTACTCACATACAGCAGCAGCCCTCTGCTGAGGATGCCTTTAACCCTCATGTGCCCAGAACATGTGAAATGTCTGGAGACATTCTGACAACCCTGACTGGGTGCAGATGGAGGTTATGTGTTACTGGTCCCTATGGAGTGGGGAACAGGGATGCTCCTCAACATCCTACAGCACACAGGTCAGCCCCCACAGTATAGAATGACCCAGTCCCAGATAGCAACAGTGCCATCATCAAGGAACATTGATTGGAACAGTAAGAGTGACCAAAACAAAGTCGTGCAGGACACTATGGGTTACTGTGATTAGAACTAGAAAACCTCTGTGTTGCAGACCACCAGGTTTCTCGCTCTGGTCACAAGGGGAAGGGCCTCCCACTATGCACTGCAACACACAAAAAACTCCAGGCAGAATGTGCAATCACTTTTCCAAGCATTCTGTGCCCCCAGCTTACAGCCCCAGGAGTCTGGCCGCATAAGAGGACAGATCCCTGCCACAAGCATAAGGGGACAGATCCCTGCCACAACGCTCAGTGTTGGAGAATGGCTATGGAGCCACTCCAGCCTAGCCGTCCTTCCCATAACCTCTGTCCCCTCTCGAGAGCCACTGAAGCAGGCCAGGCTGGGAGCACCAGCCAGACGGCGAGGGTCCCCGCATCCCTCCCGGCCTGGAAGTGCGGGTCACCGGGTGGGACCATCTACAGATCAGATCCAAGAGTGACAGGGAAGGAGTGTTCCGTACTCACAAAAGTCCCACGTGGATCTGGGGCCCTTCGTTCCCACAGGCGTCTCCGGACGCAGACTCGTCAACATCTCCATTCCTAAACAAAGCGGAGGATCCCCGGCATTACTGTCCAGCGCACAGGTGACCACAGGCTCACCAGAAGCTCTCTGGTGCTCCCGGCGCTTCTTACCGCCAGGGGCTTTCTTACGCTGTGACTTAAATGACCTCTGATTGTGACGGAAAGGACACAGCAGGCTCCTGACATACCTCCGTGGGGACCTGCCTACAAAGTGCTATTGTCTTTGAGCAAACTAGCTCGGGAAACCACTCCAAACCACGGGCACTACTTGGGGCAAACTTCCGAACTAACTCTTACACCATGTGTGACAAGTAAAATGGGTGATAGACACTGGGAAGGAAACAATGATGTCAAACATGTCAAATCAAAACACAGCCCAGAATCCCAAGAGGTGTTCTGTCGTTACGAAGGGATTCCTCTAGCTTAGGAAAGAGGGGAAGGAGGGAGAACATTCACTTCTAACGAGTGCCCTTTCTAGAAGGGCAGGTCTCTCTTGTCCACTGGCTCTCCTTTTCAAGGTAGCAGGGGCTTGGGCCTCCAGCTGACCAGGGCCAGACAGGAGGAAGTCATGCTCAAGCCACGGAAGGAGGGCCATCCTCCAGCCGCCACACAGAAGCCGGACTTTTCTTGGCGGGTTGCTAAGGCCCAACTACCACAGTGGAGAGAAGCCCAGAGGAGATGCTAACCTTGGAGACATACGTTTGCGACACTGCACAAGTCCCCGTACGCACACGTCTTGTGCCTGACAGTAACACTGTGGGAAGTCTGCTGAGGGGGGAGATCAGCTTCTAACCTTTTGTTCAGGGGCTCAAATACCCCGCTATCGCTCGCTAGCGAACAATCCGACAGGCATGCGGACACTTGGCGCGCTCTCCTCTCCAGCCTCCTGGCACTGTCTTCTTGAAGAGTCACTGCTATAAACAAAAGACACACCTGGGGTCAGCAGGTGACAGCATGGGGGGCCAGGGACCATGATGCCAAGAAATGAACACCATATGTTAGGGCACATACAGACTTACTAAGTGTTCCAAAGACACGCCAATCTATACAGAGACATCATATATACATGTGTATGTTTAAATTAGCTGCACTCATTTGTTTTATTACAAGAGTGTATAAGTGGGGAAGAGCAAAGGAAAGAAAGAAAATCTTAAGAAGGCTCCATGCTGTGTGCAGAATCTGATGTAGGATTCAACCTCATAACCCCATGATCATGACCTGAGCTGAAATCAACACTCGGAGGCTAACTGTCTGAGCTACCCATGCACCTTGCTGCACTCAATTTTAAGATTTTTAAGATTTTATTTATTTATTTGACAGAGAGAAATCACAAGTAGGCAGAGCAGCAGGCAGAGAAAGAGAGGGAAGCAGGCTCCCTTCTCAGCAGAGAACCCGATGCAGGGCTTGATCCCAGGACCCTGGGATCATGACCTGAGCGGAAGGCAGAGGCTTTAAATTTTAAACTGAAGTATACTTCTGACTGTTTCTTTAAAAGCTGTAAGCTGTTTGGAAAAATATTTGGAATCATAAAGCTCTTTTCAGGGGTGCCTGGGTGGCTCAGGGGTTAAAGCCTCTGCCTTTAGCTCAGGTCATGATCCCAGGGTCCTGGGATCAAGCCCTGCATTGGGTTCTCTGCTTAGCAGGGAGCCTGCTTCCTCCTCTCTCTGCCTGCCTCTCTGCCTACTTGTGATCTCTGTCAAATAAGTAAAATCTTTAAAAATAAATAAATAAATAAATCTCTTTTCACCTCCTTAATGAGCACACAGAACATAAGGTGATGGTGGGAAGCCCCTTCCCACTCTTAGAAGTCCTATCTGAAAGCCCCAGAAAGAAATGTTACCCCAGGGGTGCCTAGGTGGCTCAGTGGGTTAAGCTTCTGCCTTTGGCTCAGGTCATGATCCCAGGGTCCTGGGATCGAGCCCCGAAACGGGCTCTCTGCTCTGCAGGGAGCCTGCTTCCCTCTCTTTCTCCGCCTGCTGCTCTGCCTACTTGTGATTTCTCTCTATCAAATAAATAAATAAAATCTTTTAAAAAAAGAAGAAGAGTAAGAAATGTTACGCCAAACTACAATAGCAACTGCACTTGATGCATCACAAAGAAAGTACCTATGGGACTCACATACTTTGGTTTCTAACTGCAGTATTTTTCCCCAGTTCATGGTTAGGATATTATTTACAGGCCAGTTCATAAAAATAAACACTGAAACTTTTCCTCTCAGTAATTCAGCTATTGTTTCTATAATATTCTATATTTTTATTATGTAATAAAAGAAAAAAATAGAAGGAAAGGAAAGGAAAAATAGAGGAAAATAATTTTCTTATAATAAATGTGAAGATGTACATATATTTTATAAAGAAGCATGCTTAACTAAAAGAATTGAAATATTAAGCTCAAAAATGACAATCACTGACAGTATGATAGCTCTTCTCTCTGCTATCCTTGTGTGTTTTTATTATATTAGCTCTATAAATTGCAAATGTGGACATCTCTGCAACCCTTAAGCAAGGGAAATGGCTGTCTCCCAATGACCATGCCTCTTTTCAGTCAAATTATTATTCACACCAATTAAATCCAAACATGTTGAACAGCAGACAACACTTTTGGTCCTGTATGGTCTCTGGCTGAGGATCAACTGCAGGCAAAAGTTGACCTTCCAAAGGTCTGCAGTGCTGACCCTAAGATATTAGCAATTCCTTCCCGTCAAGGACAGAAGTTAGCCCCATTCTGGGGTAGCCAGAGATACACTCCCAATGTATACATCAGATTCCTGAAGCTCTGCTCATCACCCTTGTCACAGAAAGGGATCCCAAAATCCCAGACTCTGAATTACAGACTCCTCGGTTTGCTGCACATACCCCAGCAAACAAAACTGCTCACAATTTTCACATCCAGCCCTGATACTCACAGCATGGCTCCAATGTTACTTTAGGATATGGCCTTATGTTACTTTAAGGAAACAGCACAATGAAACAAAGTAACATCACATAACTGACAAAATGGGCAGTATCCTCAGGAGGGAAGAACAGAGGGGCAGATCCCAGCAAACCCTTTCAACCTTCAAAGCAACAAGATTAATCATGGGAAGCAATGTCAATGAAGTAAGAAATGTCACAAACACTTATTTTGCAAGATCTCTGACCTTTGCTATCATCAGAGACAGAAGGAAACTGAGACATCAAGAACAGCACTGCTTGACGTAAAGGAAGAAAATACAATGAGAATCACATTATAGGCAAATCTGTCAGCTGGAATATTAAAATAATAAAAGCCAGTAAAGTCTGGAAAAAATAGAGAAATAAATACATCAAGCTTTTATAAAAATATTAACCAACTCTAGTGCTACAAACATTAATGCAAAATAATAATAATAATGGTAACTACTGAGCTACACTAAAGTACAATATAAGATAACCCTTTTTTTGGCCACACCCCTCCCACACCAAATACAGATTCATTGCACAAAAATGTGCCTACGGCCTGACCAACAAGGTGAAGGAGAACTCCAAGGTCACTTACAGTGAACACTTATGTCCAGCTACATAAGGAAAGAGATACACACAGACACATGTACACACAAAGCACAAAGTGAGAAACTGTAGAACTCAAATACAGTATAAATTTAATAAAAATGTTAATAGATGAACAAAGTCCAAGTTTTTATGGATTCAGATTAGCAAATTCCAATGGCAAATCAAACTAGAAAAGGATTTCAAAATCATCACAACATTGGCTTTTAAAATCACAGGAAGATAAAAAGCTTAGTAAAAAAGGAAAGTATTTTTTTATTATTATGTTTAGTTAGCCACTGTATAGTACACCATTAGTTTTTGATGTAGTGTTCAATGATTCAATAGTTAAGTATAACACCCAGCACTCATCACAACACATGTTCTCCTTAATTCCCATCACCCTGTTAACCCCTCCCCCCACCCACTTCCCCTCTGAAATCCCCAGAATGTTTCCTGAGGTCCACAGTCTTTCATGGTTCATCAACCTCTCTGATTTCTCACCTTTGGATTTCCCTCCCTTCCTCTACAGTCCTCCGTGCATTGCTTATACTCCACATATGATAATTGTCTTTCTCTGCTCGACTTAATTCACTTAACATAACCCCTCCAGTTCCATCACTTCTGATGGCCGAGTAATATTCCTTTGTATATATGGACCACAACTTTACCCATTCATCTACTGAAGGACATCTTGGCTCCTTCCACAGTTTAGCTATTGTGGACACTGCTGTTGTGAACACTGGGGTGCATATGGCCCTTCTTATCACTACATCTGTATCCTTGGGGTAAATACCCAGTAGAGCAATTGCTGGGTCGTAGGGTCGTAGGGTAGCTCTATTCTTAAATGTAAAATATTTTTAAATTACAGTCTATTCCTTCACTCCTGTATCCAACTTTTAACCTCCTCAGATTGATTTAAAACACAATGGAAGAGCTTGGGCAATTTTAAGTTTTACCTTGTTAAAACTGTATGTTGCTTGAGTTCAAACTTAGACTGTACTATTCCTAGACAGACTGGAAAGTTGGGAGAAAACTACATGACTTTGGGCATCATAAATGAGATGTAGCATAACACAAACAGTACTAAGATCCTTGGAAAATTTACGAAGCTACAGTGACTCTAGGGTCTAGTTTCCTACGGGCATCTAAGAAAGTGGAAGTCACCTTGTGTGCAAACTGAAGCTGGTTACCCAATTCACTTCTCTGTGAGCACCCTCCACCATTCATTCACTGAATTAGTTGTTGTTGAGTTTATAAGGATCCAAGTTAAAGGATATCCTCATACAAGTTTCCACCAAGGGAAATCTTAGCACAGGCAAGTAAGTCCCTTTTACCAAGTTTGAACCATTACAAAATAAACCAACAAGTAGGAAGGAAAAATAAGTCAGGATTAGAAATTAAGACAGTTCTCCACTTCCCATCCTCTCTTTCACCTGGTCCAAAGAGGCCCTAACTTTTTTGTTGATTTTCTGAATAATCAGATTAAAACTCCTATATGTCAGCCTTTGGAGGAAAGCTGGCATGGGGAACAAAAGAAAGAAAAAGAAAAAGAAAAAAAAAATGGGCAATGAATGAAAATGGAAAAGTGAATCTTTGTTTAAAAAAAAAAAGTGAATGCGGGGGCGCCTGGGTGGCTCAGTGGGTTAAAGCCTCTGCTTTCAGCTCAGGTCATGATCCCAGGGTCCTGGGATCAAGCCCCACATCGGGCTCTCTGCTCCGTGGAGAGCCTGCTTCCTCCTCTCTCTCCCTGCCTGCCTCTCTGCCTACTTGTAATCTGTCTGTCAAATAAATAAATAAAAGCTTTAAAAAAAAAAAAAGTGAATGAAATTTTCATGTACATATGAATAACAGAAACGCTATAACCACAGATATTGGAGTTATACACGAGGAAAATTTGGGTACATGGAGAGGTAACATAATAATGAAGATGCCAAATAACCAAGGAACCACCTCAGAACATAACTGGCATCCAATTAAATATATAAGTATTAACAGGGATGGCTATGGTATATGTAAGTCATATAAGAATGGTGGTGAATTTAAAGGACCACAAAGATTAACTCTGGGGAGCCTGGGTGATTCAGTTGTTTTAAGTGTCTGGCTCAGCTCAGGTCATGATCACAGGGTCCTAGGATCAAGCCCCGCATGGAGCTCCCTGATCAATGGAGCGTCTCCCTCTCCCTCTAACTTCTTCTCCCTCTCCCTCTGACCACCGTTCTACCTACTCATGTTCTCTCTGTCCAAGAAATAAAATCTTTAAAAAAAAAAGATCAAATCTGCTGAATAGCAATGAAGCAGAGATGTGGTCAAAGACACACAATTGGTAGTTAATTGGGCAGGGATTTGAAGATCACCAGACAAAGTGATTTGACATAAATTACTAATGTTTACTGTCACATCATTTTAAAACTACACTGTTGTGGGATATTGTATTTGATAGAATTAAGTCCTTGAAAATTCCAAGGAGAAAGGATAAAGAAATGAAACCAAAGGAACAAAATTACAACAAAGGAAGTTGTAATTTCTGGTGGGTTACAAGCAAACACTGTGCATGTGATTCTTTCTTTTTTTTTTTAACAAGTAAGCACACCCTAGAAGTCTACTTTGAAAGACTACTCTGCCAGTTTTAATTATCTTTCCACAGAAGGCACTAAGCAAGCTTGCAGATGCAGAAACATCGACAATAGTATTGTGCAAACTAAACAAGGTTTGGGCCTTCCTAATTGTATCGATAGTCTTAAATTTAAAGTACACAAATGCAAGCTATTTCATCCCCAAAGCCGAAACTGCCGTTTCCCCAGCACGAGAAAAGCCGCAGCACGCCTCAGTACTCACTGGCAGCCGTGGGAGTGATGGTCGCTTGGGGTCCTCGCTCGCGAGGTCCTTCCCCATCCGTGGGGAACCCGTGCGGCTGAAGGGAGGCCGTGCCCTGCAAGTCTTCATCCCCCAAAGCAGAGGCCTGGGCCCGCAGTCTGTCGAAGGTGCCCAATTCGGGCACCTCGAAACTGTCCCCCAGTTGGGCCAAGGGCGAGTCGCGTGAGGCCGGGAAGAAGGGCGTGTCCAAGGGCGAACTCGGGGGAGACAGAGAGGACAGGGAGGAGCGGGAGGACAGGGAGGTCAAGGACTGTGGCGTGTCCAGGGAGCGCCTCTGCTTGTGGAAGCCCG